CTATTAGGTAAAATCTGGGGATATGGGTCTTCCCCAGATCATATGATCTGGCTAGAATAATTCAGGGTCTACAGAGCGAGCAGAATGGACGGACAGAGACCTTAGATCTACCTCTATGTCTGCGATGTTCTGCAAGTCGGCTGCATATACATACATCTTCAGTCCCTATGAGAGTATCTGACGATTTCCTCGTATCTCCGAATTATCTGTTAATGTGCGCTCGCTAAAGCCACAGAGATAAATTGGCCCCTACAGCCTGAAGCTAAGGCACAGGCTAAKCCATCCACAGCCTAGCGCGGACTAGCGTGGCTCTAACTCCCTCGTGTTTCTCCTTCCAGCCAATCAGCTGGCCCGCCACTCCCCGCATCCTTGTTCTTATCAGTTGTATACACCAATGACGGGCCGTCCTGAATCCTGCGAGTCACTGTCACTGTCCCCGGTGCGGGGAGCCGGTGAGAAAGAAGGAGCGAGAGATTTATCTTCGGGATGATCTCGTGTCTGGTGTCTCATGGGAGGCCGTTGCACGGACATCGTACCCATGATAGCTAGATACCCGACCTCGGGTCGCCAGAAAAATCCTACTTAAAACCTTCCCTCCCCCCGGTCTCTTCAGTCCACCTTCTGTCCACCCCAGTTTTCTTCCATCTCCTCTTCCCTAAGGATAGAATGAAAATGGCGGAAGAAAAACCCACTATCGCTACGGCCGACTACCATGACCCCGAGGCCAACGTCAAGCATGGCACCATGCAGGCCATGGTCGAGCGCGACCTGCTCGACGAACGATACAAGATCACCGAGCGCGGACTGAAAAACCGTCATGTACAGCTGATGGCGCTGGGTGGCACTATCGGAACTGGTCTGTTTGTCGGATCGGGACAGGCGCTCGCCATCGGCGGTCCCCTGTCGCTGCTGCTCGGATACATCTTCATTTCCGTCCTGGTGTATGCGCTGGTGACGGGAATGGCGGAGATTGGCTCGTATCTGCCGGTGCACGGAGGGACAATGAGCTACCACGGGTTCCGGTATGTGTCGCGCAGCATGGGTTTCGCCATGGGCTATCTGTACTGGTATTCGCTGGGCATTCTGGTGCCGTACGAGATTGTCGCCGCGTCCATGGTCATCGATTACTGGCATCCCGGCGTGCATATCGCCGTGTGGATCTCCATCATGCTGGTCATCATTGTGCTGCTGAACTTCATGCCCGTCAAGGCCTACGGTGAAACCGAGTTCTGGTTCGCCGGCATCAAGATTATCACTCTGATCGGCCTGCTGATGATGTCCTTCATCCTCTTCTGGGGCGGTGGCCCCAACCGCCAACGCCTCGGCTTCCACTACTGGAAGGACCCCGGTCCCATGAACGAGTACTTGGTCACCGGTGACGCCGGCCGCTTTGTCGGCCTGCTGCAGTGCATCGTCAAGAGCGCCATCGCCTTCATCTTCGCGCCGGAACTGATCATCATTTCCGCCGGTGAGATGGAGTCCCCGCGCCGCAACGTCCCCACCGCCGCCCGCCGCTACATCTACCGGCTCGTCTTCTTCTACATTTTTGGCGCTCTCGCCATCGGCGTCATCTGCTCCTCCAAGGCTAAGCAGATCATCTCCGGCAACGGCGACGCCTCCTCCTCCCCCTGGGTCGTGGCCATCCACAACGCCGGAATTCCTGCTCTCGACAGCATCGTCAACGCCGCCATTCTGACCTCTGCCTGGTCCGCCGGCAATTCTTTCTTGTACATGTCCTCCCGCTCGCTGTACTCGCTCGCCGTCTCCGGCAACGCCCCCAGCATCTTCAAGGCCTGCAACCGCTGGGGTGTCCCCTACATGGCCGTCGGCGTCTCTGCCCTCTTCTCGCTGCTCGCCTACCTCGCCGTCGGCAGCGGCTCCAATACCGTCTTCAACTGGCTCATCAACTTCACCAACACCTCCGGCTTCATCTCCTGGATCTGCTGCAGCATTGTGTACTTCCGCTTCAACAAGGCCTGCAAGGTCCAGGGCATCGAGAAGCCGTATACCTCCAAGATGCAGCCGTACGGGATGATCGTCGGCCTGGTCGGTGCGGTCATGCTCGCGCTGATCAATGGGTTCACTGTCTTCTTCCCGTCCGAGTGGTCCGCGAGTAACTTCTTCACGGCGTATATCGGCATTCCCGCTTTCCTGGTGTTGTATTTCGGTCATCGGTTGATCTTCTGGCATGATCCGTGGGCGTGGCGCAGTGAGGAGGTGGATATGCAGACTGGGTTGGCGGAGATTATTGCGGCGGAGAAGCCGCCTCGTGTTAGGGATACGTGGTGGAAGAAGTTGATGGTCATTATTGAGTAGATGTACTGTATCTGTAGTCTATCAACTGCATTCTTTATTTACTATACCTATATTAACATATGATTGACAAACTATATTCGTTAAATCATGGTATCATGTAAGGATTGCAGCTATACCGACTACTTCAATGACGACATAGATATGGATGGAGACTGTCCCCATTTACTAAAGATAATTGGTCACCAGCACTCTTGATAAGTGGACCACCATTCCTCACATCTGAATGAAGATCAGCATATCTGATATCGGATCATGATAAAGCTCCACAGATAAGATAAAAGATAGAGATCTGTGGCGACCACCGCCGATTGCCACCCTCATCGGCCACATCCGTTCACCACCATATTCACATATAACAAACCATGAAACATCCAAAGTACCAGTCCAAAGGGCAACAAGCAAAATGCCGACCCTCACTCCCCTCTCCCACCCGTCCAAACTCGGCGCCATCCTAACAGACATCTGCCTCGAACCCCTCCACCCAAAACACTTCTCCCTGATCTCCTCCGCCCTCCACAACCACCTCGTCCTCATAATCAAGAACCAGTCGCGCCTCTCCCCAAAAGCCCAATACGAGCTCACGAAGCGCTTCGACCCCGCCGCTACCTCCTACGGCCACGGCAAGACCATCGACGCCAAGCGCTCCATCCTCCACCCAGACCTGAAGACCATCCCGCACCAGCCCCAGGTGCAGATCATCGGGCACGGGCACATAGACTCGTACGAGGGGCTGGAGAACTTTACGCTGAAACATCCGCATCATCGCACGTTTCACCAGACGCATGTGCCGGAGCATGAAGATAAAGATGTGACGCGGTTCTACAGGTGGCATATCGACGCGGCGCTGTACGGGCTGCATCCGCCCAAGGTGACTAGCCTGCTGGCGGTGAGGGTGCCAAATGGGAGGAAGCAGACGCTGCGGTATGATGACGGGTCCGGCGAGGAGATGCAGGTCCCGCTGGGGACGACGGCGTTTGTGAGCGGGGAGCACATGTACGAGCTCTTGTCGCCGCTGGAGAAGGAATTTGTTGTTGGGAGTCGGGTCGAATATGCCCCTCATCCGTAAGCTAGCCCTTTTCAATCCAGAACTCAATGCTGGCTGATGGCTAACTGGAACTGTAGGTATGTCTGGATGTCGCGCGCGCGCTCCCGGCCCACGGGTCTGGGGCTGGTCTCCGAGAACCGCGAATTACCGCTTGAGGAGCTCCCGCCGGTCGAGGAGGATAAGATCCAGATTCTGCCGATGGTGTGGCGGAATCCAGTGACGGGGCGGCCGGCGCTGCAGATCCACCCGTCGGCTGTGAGGAAGATTCATCTGAAGGATGGGACGGTGATTGATGACTTGGAGAAGGTGAGGGAGATTGTGTATGCCCTGCAGCGGCCGGCGATCAGCCCGCAGTATGTCTATGCGCATGACTGGGAGGAGGGTGATCTGGTCTTGTTTCATAATCGGGGGGTGATTCATTCTGTTGTGGGGTCGTTTCGTGATGATGAGGTGCGGTTGTTCCGGCAGTGTAATCTGGCGGCGTCGGAGGGGCCGTTGGAGTATCGGCCTTAGTTCCTTATGATATGTAGGATATTATTTCGGCAAAAGACGAAGCCAAGAAAAAGGTTCAAACTGGGGTAGAGGATATGTCGATGAGTCCGACTTAAAGCCATCAGCTGTTGCCTGATCAAGTATCAAATTGCCTTTAAAGGTCTCAGTACTCAACAGCACAGATAGTCTTTCTCAAAATTACAACCTTACAAAGTTATCAACCAAATCGGGAGACGTAGTCGCTACTCGCTAGTATCAATCGATCAAAAACGACAAGTTGTCAAGTCCACACAAATACGCAAATTCGGAGCTCACTGTGTAACAGAAGTAGGAAATATATCTCGTAGGAAATATATTTCTGGTGTTGTAGCAGATGCGCTGGTCTAACCTCTTAAGAGCGAACCATCGATGCTAACAGTCCAGGCTTATTTTGCGTGGTTCCCGCCATTGGAGCTGGGGCTGCTGGGCTTCCCACTGGGACTGGACAACTAGAGCCAAGATTTATTTAGGCAGCCACCCAGTGTTTAGGTGTGAGGGGGTGTGGTATGTGTATTCATTTTGGCCGTTTTGTACATTCGCCGTAGCCCGTGCTTTTATTAGTTTATGTAATGAGGCATGGAAGGTCCAAGTACAACCCCTGACGCTTCCCCTCCTTGGCTATATATGGACTTGACTGTTCCTCTGCTGCCTATGCCCGTGGCTACTTTAACAATTTCTACGACTTTGAGAAGGAGACTTGGAAACCATAAGCACTATGGCATGGTTAGACCGATTGCCGATTGAATTGCTGCTTCTGATCGCAAAGTCCTTACCCAGCCAGAGTGACATTAATGCTTTAATTCAGACCAACCGAAATCTCTATCACCAATTGTATTTCTTTCTATGTCAATATAATGTCCAGCATTATCAAGGATCAGCCTTATTATGGGCTGCTCAAAAGGGATATATCCATTTGGCAACAAACCTGCTCCATGCTGGCGCAAGCATTGCACACTTTGAAAGCCCGGCAGAAACGCAATTTGTCTCAAAATATGATTACGTGAAAATTGAAAATCCGCTCTTAATTGCCGCCCAGGGTGGGCATATGGCAGTCCTCAAGTCCATGCTTTCTGAAACACGGTCAGGCCAAGCATGCTCACCAGCTCAGATGCGCACTGTTCTCCATTGGGCCATCAAGTCCCGCGACAGTGATCTTATGGATCTTATGATCCATTATAAGGCCCCCTTGGATCCAGCAGGAGATGGGATGAATGCACTCTCTGCCCTGGGAGTTGCTGTTATCTCACAAGACATCTCCATTATTCTGCGTCTGCTTGAGGCAGGAGCACAGCCAGGTCAGGAGGAAGACCCATGTCCCATTGCGAGGGCTATAGAAACTCGTCAACTACAAGTTATTGAACTTCTTATTGAGCGTGGTATTCCACTCAATGATACAGGCCTATGCTTTATAGCACGTCAAAATGACAAGGTCCTACTCCAACGTTTCATTGATTATGGATTGGATCTGAGCTTGGACGGCCACACAGCACTGTTCACTGCCATAATGTATGGCCAGTACGGGATGGTCGAATTTCTCATTGAAAAGGGTGCGGACCCGCACCTAATGTGTGAATTGCGGCTGGACGATGGGCATTGCCTTGAGAGCTCTATAGGGTTTGCTATATATTTTCGGCACCTGCACATCTTGAAGCTCCTGCTAGCGAAGGGTGTCGTCCCAGCGCAGTATGATTTAAGCTTAGCGGCAAAGAAGGAGTTCGAAGAGGCAGTCGCACTTCTATCCAAATTCTCCAACCAGGAATTACCACCAAAGGAGACTTTAGAGAGATATATGTGTTCGCAACGTTATCTTGAACGTGAAAAGGTTGTTAACTTCAAGCTCCGGCGACAATGTTTTTTCGTTGCCTATTCGACTTCACCTGAAGAGCCTGAGAAGCCCCGTCCAGTTCTTGAGACATTCCTTGTACAATACTAGAAGAGTAGTATTATTTCTGCTGGTAAGATAGTGTGTCTAAATCTTCTTTCTTCTAAAGTGCTGAGATGTTTCATCGAGTTACCATACGAATTGTGAACAGCCAAAGTTTTTGCGATAGGAATTAGTACTATATCGCAAGTAGTGGAAAGCTCTTTAGGGGCAATATTTGAACATAGAACGAGATTGAACTGAACTTGGACGTCAGCTCTAACCTGAGCGTTTCACCCGGGTTGTCCCATCAGCATTTCAGTATCCTCTGCCAAGCCTCAATAAATATCTTTTGCCTTCGTTTGGAGACAAGAGCGGGTCGTTCTACTAGGGCAGTATCTAAAAGAGTACATTTTCCTAAATGGGTTCTCGCGCCTTGCGCACCATGACAGCTAAAACAGAGTCTCGTTTGGTCCTGCGTATAGCGGTAACCCAAGGTTGCATTTACAAGTACTGGCAACTCCGTTCTTTGCTTTGTTCTCTTATATTCGCATGTGATGTCGGATCTACGATTGTCCTCGGAGCCAAGACTGCGGCGCTTGGTTCGATGTTGGTTCAATATCCCATAGCGGGCAAGTGCTTGGTCAATCGCGATCTACTCACAATCATTGGGCGGAAAAATGAGAACTGGTCCCTCAGTACTCTGTACCTATTATGTATTGCATCTTGGACTGTTGACCATAAGACCCACCGATAAGAAGCAACGCTGTAACCTTAATCTTGATTGTTCTGGTTCGGGCCGCATCCTCCCGGCCCCAGTCATTGTTGATCAAGTTTTGAGCCTTATCGCATGACAAGCAGCAACAGGATCTCAACCCCACAGATCACGTAGCAGAATTTGGACCCCATGGGACTGGATAAAACATGGTGGTCCCCAACTTGCTCTGTGTAGCACATCAACATATTGCTGCTGACAATGTGCGTCTTGCAAGGGTGCAATAAGAAGTTTGCAATCTTCAAAGTAATATTATGTTTAGCTGGTGACGGTGACTGGCACATAATAATGATGTTAATGGACATAGCTCATCACAATATCTGTTTACCAACTAATTACTCTAGTATTTTAGCTAGAAATATATTAACTAGCTTAAACATCCAATTCCTTGTTCGGAGACTCCACAGCCACAATAGAGTGTTTATACACAGCATCGCAGCTGTTGTTGAGGTTTTTGGCTTATCACTTTTGTTTATAAGAAGACAAAAATTCTTCATGTGATTCAGTTACTCAGGCATTAATTGGAATTCCAAAGAATTTGGTATTCCAGGCACAGTGTCATCTGCCCTCTGTTTTTTATCAAGTAGTAATACCAAAATTGTCCCGCGCTAAAGATCATGACTGTTTTTAATCCCTCACCCCCGCTATGGACTTTTGTCACTCGCTCATATCATCAGTGTTGACGCCGCAGCATGTTCGTCTTGGTAATAGATTTTGAACATTTAGTACTATGACCCAGTTAGACTTATTGCCGCTTGAATTGCTTCGTCATATTGTGAAATGCTTATCCAACCAAAGAGACCTCAACACGTTATTGCGGACCAACCGGAATCTATACCATCTTTTGCATGTCTTCCTATGCCAATATAATATCCAGCATCATCAGAGCTCAGCTCTGCTATGGGCTGCCAGGAATGGAGATGCCAATTTGATCATAAAATTACTCGATGCTGGCGCAAACATCGCAGCATTTGAGACCTCAAATGTCAACCCGCTCCTACTTGCCGCCCAGGAGGGGCATATCGCAACCCTGAAAACCATGCTTTCAGAGACACGGCCAGGTCGGGCATGTTCACCTGCTCAGCTCCGCTCTGTTCTTCACTGGGCCATCCGCTCTCACGACGGTGACGTTACAGAGCTGATGATTGAGAACCAGGCACCCTTAGACCCCGAAGGAGTTGGCCGAGAAGCGCTCTCTGCCTTGGGTGTCGCCGTTGCCTCACACTATGACTCTATTATTCCTCGCCTTCTCAAGGAAGGCGCAAGGCCAGGTCCTGAAGAATGCCCATGTCCCCTTGAGAATGCCATATACACTGATCAACGGCAAGTGGTTGAGCTCTTACTTAAGAGTGGCATCCAACTTGAAAGTGACGAGAGTTTGTGTCACATAGCAGGCCAGAATAATCAACATCTACTCCAGCTTCTTATCAACTATGGATTGGATATAGAATTATTCGGCCATGCAGCATTATTCACCGCAATAATGCACGGCCAATATGAGATGGTCGAACTGCTGATCGAAAAAGGTGCAAACCCCCACCTAACATACGAGCTATTTGCAAGGGATGGGGAAGTCCATCGCTATAGCTCAGTAGGGTTTGCTATATACTTTGGGCACCTGGATATCCTAAAGCTCTTGCTCGCAAAGGGTGTCCACCCAGAGAAGTGCGATCTCCACCTGGCCATGAAGAAGGGGGATAAACAGAAAGTTGCCCTGCTATCGGAATTCTCCTATGAAGGCATCCCTGAGAAGGAAGATATGTCCACCTATGTCAAGTGGCAGTTACGTGAGAGATGCGAGAAAAATCCTGACTTCCATAGGATGGGAACGCGGCCTTTCTTAATAGAACCTGCCAATTCTGAAGAGCTTTCAGGTTGTCTACACTCCTACATAACACTCGCCTCTAACAAGTGAATCTCTTTATTTCTCTTCATCCTTTCCATTCTGTTCAGCATTCGCTTGTCGTGGCAAATATTCACTGTACAAAAAAATGATAAAAGAATTGATTGTGAAGATTAATGCTCTTCCAAGCTATAACCCAGGGGTTGTTTCATTTGTACCCAGTATCTACTACTAAGTACCAGGCTAAGGATACTGCTAGAGAGTCTCGCAGTAAGGGAAAAGGAATATGGCGTGTGCACCAACGTACTGCAAGAGGGAAATGAGCAACAACGTCAAGTAGTTATGGATTCATTGTGGCAGGACGAAGGGTTTTGGCAGTGAAGAATTGATCATAGCGCCAGTGAGCAGGAAGCAGAGTGCGAATGCAAAGCCCTAGATACTTTCACATAAATGGATGTTTTACAGCAACTGCTCTGCCTCGAAGGATGGCGCAGCTGCTCATTTTAGGAGATAAATGGGCCTGATCTGCTCTTTTTACATTTTTATTTTTCTTGTTCTTTTTTTGGGGTGGTAAATTGATATCCTAGCTTTTGGTTACACTGCTATGCGTCAATTCTTCTATTATTGAAGGATAGAAAAAGAAAGGGAATAATAGTATAACATATTGCAGGATCAGTTTAAGGAACTATACTGTATCTTATGATATGTGTCACAGTCCTCGTTGGCCACTGAGAGACATCTATGCAACGATTCCCAGCCTAGGTCATGTAGCTGTACCGATGTGACGCAATCAAGCCAGAGGTCTCCCTGTTTCTGCTCGGCTGGATAATTTTCTCTGGGCATAGTCCACGCAGTCGAGCCTGAAAAGATGTTCTCGGATAGTCAAAGATCTTCGGCTCGTATCTCGATAACAAAGAGAACTTCGGTCCTTGTGGTAGACGTTACTTCTTAAAGCGCTGCGCGATTACCATTTTCCAGAAGGCGGAGGAATTCGATATAACTACCTTTTGAGCCATTTAGGGCGATGGGACGACTCGTCATGGACCCTGGCGGGGCCATTGCAATCAGTGCTGATTTAGTAGCTTGGGGTATATAAGTCAGGAAATATGGCTAGGAAGAGCACACACCAATGAAATCTGCTTCAAGGATACATGCTAATCCCAAATAGTTGTAGTATATGTACTGTGATTATGCATGAACACGACATTAGCAAACATTTCAAATGGGCGAGCTGAAGCGAGTCAGCCGTAGCCAGCTGGCTCAAACTTCTCCTCGCAAGCGCGCTGCCCAGGCGTCTTTACAACGACTGCCGAAATCATGGATTCTGACCTTCATCCAGCAGGATCTCAATACTACAAGCTACAAGGAGCTAGCAGTGATCAGGAAGCAGAAATGTCTGTCTGCTCAAATAGTGATCCTCCAGACCAAGTTGAAACAACTCAACAGGGTGAACATGAAAGTTCGGCTTCATTGCACCACCAGGACCTACCTACGGAAATGCCACATCCCATACCTTCAATTGTTAAAGACTCGGTGTCGAAAGACAAAGGAGCTTCAAAACTCTCTCTACCACTTGAACGCCTTCCATCCTCGGAATCTGACACCGAAAGCATAGGTGGACGGCTTCCATTGGAGCCTCGCGTTTACAGGAAGTATAGTCCCACATCATCTGATGCCAAGCATGCTGTTAACGACCTGCACTAGCAAGGCAGGTATGCGATTCGTGAGTCGTGAAAGACAGATCATCAAGTCGCGATGCAAGCCAAACTCAGCATTTCGGCTGACTTCTCCGATCAGCACCTTCCGACAAAAGAGCGATGGCACGGTCGAAAGACGAAGACTGGTAAGAGGCCATATATTAGACTACATACGACCAGGCGTACCGGCACATATCAAAGCCGAAAATTTCGATTATTTTCCAATTGTGTCATTGGTCCCATTCGATAATCGCGTTCCGCTGGCAATTGATCTCCCTTGGGTCTGGGAGTACGAGAAGGGTCGCATGCAGAGGGAAGAGGTTACCATTGATGACACTCGGGCTCTGGAGAACTTACAGCAACGGATACGCAGCTTGAAAGAGTTTGACACTGAGCTAAGGCAGAACGGTGGGGACTTTTTTATCATGGACGATAGGGCAATGTTGGAAGAAGAGGGCCATCGACAGGATATATATCGAGGACCTAATGATTATACCCATGAGTCTTACCTTTCATATGACAGGCGTCCAGACCCCGACGTCTCGGGCGCTGGAGCCTTTCTAGCACCATGGCAAAGATTGATATTCTGCAAAGGTCTCTCGACCGCGGCCAATCCGGACAGCCCTCTGTTTCAGAACGGTCAATTTGTCGCGCTTCCCTACATTGCCTTGGATGATGTCAATCCACTTCCAAAATATTTGCGTCCTCTAGCCCGCGACCTAACAAGGGATGCTATTACGGAAGCTGTGAAGCTTCATCTGAATTGCTCCAGAAGAGTAGTCGGCCAATTGAATAACCCCTACATGGACGCCTCCAGCTGCTTTCACATCAGCTTTTACGAAATGATCAACTTCTGTGAAAAGGAGTCCTGGAAAATAGGTCACATGTACACAAAACTAGACGCCCTTCCTGGCAGAAAGGCTCCTCTTTTTCGCCGAAGTGCGTTCACCACACTTGTTGTCATCGAGGACCGCTACACTGACGCTGAGCTTTCTCGTCGTCCAACGTATACACCTCGATTCGGAACGATGCTGGTATTGTGCCCGTCCGGTTCCTTCGTGCGCCCACTCAAATATTATGTGGGTCAGGGCGAACATGCTGTCAATTGGGAAGAAGTTCTAAGCTGCAGGAGCATCCAAATCTGTGAGCTGGCGGTCATCCGAGAAGTGTACTCCTTGCTCACACGTCGATGGCTTCAGTTAAAAGAATATCTGGCAGAGCTTCTCCAGGAAGATTTCATGGAGCCGGATATCTATACAAAGCTTATCTTCGATGATGACAGGCTATCGAGATCAAAGATGTACTTCTGGATGCTGGCTTGTCTGCAGGAGTTCAACGTCAGCATCACAGATAATGTCAACCACTGGGAGCTGTACCGACAAGCCCGAGTTGACAATTTTACAAAATCGGACGCCGTGGATCCAAAGCCGATGATATACGAAGTGGATTCATTTTGTGGAGTTCTTAAAGAAATCAAGGTTCAAATGGACGAGCTGGCCGCTGCTGTCCGAGCTCGCCGAGATGGTCTTTTCAATGCAAGTGCGTTGGGCGAGAGTATGAACTCCACTCGCCTGGGGCAAAACGTGAAGCTTCTCACATACGTCAGTATCTTCTATCTCCCACTGGCATTTTGCGCAGCGCTATGGGCAATCCCCAATATTGATCAGAAAGGAACCAAGACCGCCTTCAGCATCACCGCGGTGGTGACGGGGTTGGTCAATTACCTCCTGGTCGCCAATCTGGAGAATGTTGTCTATTCTCTACAAAGCATCTATAACTCCTGGAGGAGAAAGCTGGTGCAGCAAATGAAAGATGATCCCGCCATTCACTGGAAAGTTCATGGCCAGCGTCTGGAAGAGTCATTGCCAGACCGGAGAATGGGTCCCTCAGAGTGGACGCTTTGGTGGTATCAGATCATCAAGCCTTTCCGGAGACATTCGAGGAAGGTAGAGGATTCTGAGGAGCTCGAGGTTTCATCAAGTTTCTCAGAAATCGAGTCCGGTTCAACTGGGGATGTATGAGCTCCTAGATGAAAACCCTCATTCAGTAGAGAGGGTTTGCGTCTCATCCTACAGTGGTCACTAGGCTTCACAAATATTTGCAAAAATAATACCAGCCAAAACTCTCACGTTGGCTAGCTGTGTCGGGGAGCTTGCTCATATCGTTGAGCGAGGTATATCCCTCTTCGTCACCAAGGTATCAAACGCCTTTATATGTCCATCTCCATTTTCGATTGGGAGGACCATTGGTCCTGCACGGCATCACAATATGCTTTCTACTGTCTCGGTCCGCTTTATCCTGTGCATMCAGTTCGCTCGCAGATACATTGGTCACAGACTCACAGTATAAAGACTTGGTCAGCCCAGTAATAATAACAATTTCTCTAGGTAGAGTGCGTACCGGTTTCTGAGCGCTCAGTTCTCCGATATCTGTTGCCTATGGCCCCTCCAACTATGTAGTCTTAGGAAGTGTAGTTCAACCAGCGGGCCCAATGTGACTACTTAAACCAATACCATTTCTTTCTTTGGCTTTTGCCGCACCCAATTTGAACTTCAAATTTAGTGGCAATCTCATTGCCACGAATGAAGTCATGTATATAAGCAGTGTTCACCAGGCAGATATTGGATATCACATTAATTAGACCATGATTAATGAACGACTGTGTCCTTGTAACGAGTGGAAAAAGTTTACATGAGAGGCACGGTATCCAGATAGGCTCAATATATGTACAGAAGTATGCCGTTAACTTGTCTATCAAAAGTATATACAGTATACGCAGTGCTATTAAATACCTTCCGCACCATCTGCATCGATCGGTTCAGGGATAGAGGTTATCCGACCGGACGAACCAAAACGCAAGTCCGCCCAGAACCTTTTCGTCTCCTCTATATACCTCGTCTCCTCCAGTGGCACCTCCCAGTGCCTACTATGCGATGCTGCTATCTCAAGATACGGCGTCAGTGTTCGAGTCAAATTGGCTTTCGGGGTTCCCGGAAAGTGAACGAGAAGATCACCAGGATGAACCTGGAGATGCAGCGGATTATCAGGGTTGATATCTATCCCGTTCGGATGTCTCATGTAGGCATTGAACCAACGAAGGGGGCAGTACACGGTCGATCGAGCAAAGTACTCGTTCTCGGCCAGGACATTGCAGATCGCGGACTGTTCGAACCAGATAAGCCCGACGTTAGGCTTCACGACCGGGTAGGCGATGGCGGCAGAAAGCAATTCCACAGACCAGGGATGAACGCGAAGAAAAAAGACCCCGCTGTGCAGTCCATTCCAATCCCTGCTCACCAACAGGTGAGCGTTTGGCAATTCTGGTGGGGGAAGAAATGTCTCCAACGGCATGTCAGGATTCATCAGTACCGTGTCGCCATCGAACCAACTGTGCAGCGTGTTCCTCGTCAGTGTTCATGTCTGACTGGTTTGGTTTAGTGTTTCTCGTAAAACAGGCCAAGGTACTCACAAGAGCCACTGCAATCGCTGATCTGCCGGCTTTTCCAGTTCCCGCAGCAGGACTGACTGAAGAATGGCGAGTTTGTTCCAAATCCCATTCAATATTGGACTCCGGAGAACCGTAAGAGGGTACCCCAGTCGCCGATTGTGCTCCTTGTGTGTCTCCAAAGTTCTCTCGTATATCGACATGTTCCCATATATCATCGTCACCTTGCCTATCGTCGGGGCAGGCCGAAATGCCTCCGGGGCCGCAATTTTGTCTGTAGTCTGTCAGCACCATGTCAATCGTAGATAATTAATGCTTGCGCATGTTGAGAAACATACAGGAATTAGAAAACAGGCTCAGGAGCCCGAAGACACCGAGAAAGGCCAAAAGCACTTGTCCAACAGCGTTGAACTTGAATCGCTTGCTGCTAATCTCGTACGACTTGGCCATGGTGGGATCAGACCTGCATGATAATCTTTTCGCGCTTGTGACAGGTAATGAGTTCATATCCAAGAGAAGGATGAACGATCAAAATAGACTTGTAGCGGAAAGGTATGGTAGATTTCGGTCGGGCAAATATGCGCTGCTAATCGTACAGTGACCAGATCCAAACATTTGATTCAGGACCCCATGGGATCATACTGTCTGCAGTACTTAAAGCAATCTTCTTCAAGCTCCAGCATTTGAGCAGGGAGTGTTGCGTCCATTTGATTCCTGCATGGGTAGGCGCCGGCTGCGCGCCGAGCCATCAACTGGGCCAATGGTGTTGAGATGCTCAACAAGAAAGCCCATTTCGAAACCATCCCTACTTGGCGCGTCTCAGCTCACTGCCATGTAAAAGTGAACTAAGCCATGGGCCTTGTACATTAGTGAGATTGAGGGATCTTCCTGGTCCCTGCAGCCTGTCGCGTCACTAGACCGAGGAAGGAAGCCCAAGATAGGCCTAATCTTAGGTTTATTCAACGGCCGCCTGGGCTAAACGTACGACTAGACTAGTCGCGCTTATGAGCGAGCATTTTTGGCAAGACTATTTTGGGCTCAGTCGTTGCAAGCAGGGTGGGTTCATCATTCTTTTAATAAACTACGGGTGAACTTCTGTATCACTAGCCACGAACATAATACCGATAGAACCTCTACAAATAACTCACTTGTTTGATTGCAACAATATACACCTATTTTCACTTGACTTAACCACCCAGAGAATGAGAAGCTAAAACCTTCTCCGCTGACCGAGGGTTTTCAAGAACGTTACAGCGCTTATGCAAAGGCTGAGATTGGCTATTTGAAATAAAGGAGCATGTGCCCAAGGACATATGGGTCTACTAACGTGTTCCATGGAAAGGCAATCGCCTTGGGCAATATCTCCCATTTTTTAAATCCGACAGAACCATTATTCCGGGTCTAGGATCAAGTCAGCCATATCATATAGTTATGTACAGTGTACACTGTACACGTTACTTGCCAAGACAAGGTGGTAACATCGCTGAATTGCACATTGAATTAATCGATATAGAGAACGATCAGACACGTTAACAACTCCAGTTTGACAATTCAGCCCTAGCACCTGAGGATGAGTTTTGTGATTGAGGCTCTCCGCAGCTGGTCCTTAAACGTAGATATCTATCAACGGCCCAAGCCAATAGGCGTCTGCAGGGACTTGGAGCCAACCGCCAGAGCTTAATATAGCTCGTTCGTCGATCACCGTAGGAACTTCGGATCTACCGATGATAGGATGAGCTCGATCGCAGGGGCTGGTATCATGAGATGAAACCCGCCTAGCTGTAGATAGTTGACATGCAGCCTCGTTCGCGCCCCTCCGGCGACTAATTCTGTCTAAGTAGGATGGAAGCCAGGATTCTGGTAGTCCAGGGACAGAGTGCAACCTTAAATCATATAGTACCGTTTACGCAGGTTCCCCTTAAGGCGAGCCACGCCCATGACTCCGCCCGTATGATGTCGATTTTCCGTTAAACTGAGAACAAACAAGTCTGGAGGTCTCGAATCTTCTTTTGAAGATGAGGGTGGTCAACATACCAGCCACACAGACGTGGGCATCCACGTCTATCTCTACGACGACCCTCCCCATGCCGACCATATTCCCGCCACCGACAGGTTGTGCAAACTCCTGGACATGGGAGCCTCCCGGCTACAACTGGGTAAAGCCCAGTGGCCTCTTGATACAGAACTGCGAAACCGTGGTCAGCTCTTATTTCCCTTCCGGATTTGCGAACGTGGGAAGGACGGCGGCGACACAAGTCTATAACCCCGGAGCCTGTCCTGTGGGATATACCTCTGCTTTTGTCGCTGTTGGTGACCAGATAACCACTGCAGTATGCTGTTACTCGTGCGTGGTCACCCATTCATCCTCTGAGAAACATGGAGTTTGTTCTGAATGCTGATCTATGGCTCCAGTAATTTCGTGTACACTACCACGGAACCGAGCTATAGTGATGGACCGCCATCAATGTACGCCGGATGTACGAGCTACCTCCCTGAAAAAAGCTCGACATTCGTTTTCGCCCGAGGAGTAAGGGCCGACCTGGACGTACAGATTACCGGCTCCATGATCATGTGGGCACAACCTATCACAGTCGAATTTGTGGCTTCTGATCTGTCCCGGCTTGGAATCAAATATCCAACCGCTACATCCACTTCCAATCCCACAATCACGGCCTCAACAACTGACTCTTCAGCCTCGCCGCAATCCACTACGGCATCATCCACCACCTCGGAGGCGTCGGAGTCTTCCCTAACGATCGTCAACATCAACACCTCGCAGACCTCCCCGGGTGCCCAGGGCTCGGTTCACAACCCTTCTTCAACCCCCTCTGCTGGCTCCTTCTTATCAACGGGCGCAAAAGTCGGAATTGGCGTCGGTGCTGGAGTCGGCGCAATCCTCGTCTCGATCTTTCTCTTCCTATGGGTTTCGCGCCATCGCAAAGCAAAGGCCAACGGGGCTACCATGCATGTTGGCCCTGAGGATCATCCTCCATACTACTACAAGACCGAAGGTCTACGAGGAGGGTTCCCCGCGCCGGCCAGGAGTACGAAGCAAGCGCGTGGGCCACCGATGGAACTAGATAATGGGGGCTATTCTAATCACTCCGGCAAGAATCTGCCGGAACTTCAGGGTTGAGACTCTACTGTTTCTCTTCCTCGTGCCTTTTTCTTTCTCTGGCTTTTGCCGCATCCAATTTGAACAGGAATTTTAGTGGGCAATGTCATTGCCACGAATGAGATCATGTACATAAGTAGTGTTCACCAGGTAGATATTGGATATCACATTAGTTAGACCATAATTTGATTAATGAGGTTCAGATGAAGAGATTTGAGAATCCCATTGACATTTGTCACCACATTGCTGGTCCCTTTGCACCGATAGGCTTCGCCACCCAGACCAATAGACCAAACTATGATTCGGTGTCGGCGAAAGAATAGATGCTTTCAGGATCATTGCCTGCATAATTTCTTGTGCCACACTGACCCTGGATGTGGATTTATAACTTTTGGTAAATTGTGTAGACGCTGAGAGGTGGGAATGATTTCTCATCTGTTATACCCAATTTCAGTCTGATCCTCCTACTGTGCAAGCCTTAGCAGTGTTGGCATCAAGACATTGTAGAGATAGCTCTTCTATCCTCATCTTGCCAACCTCGTATTGATCAATATAATTCCTTATACTGTAGGAGCTAGTGTTGGACTCTGCACAGTGAGCCAGACCTTTCTCTTGCACTGTTGTGATCGAGTGGCATTTTGCTATTTCACTATATCACTTTTCCCTATTCTCATTGACTGAAGATCCTACTGTCTCCTAATATCGAAAGCAATTGATGCATAATGAACAGTGGATGTTGAGATCAACAACGGCTTCTTATAGAATACGATTGAGACAGCATTGAACATTAACGTCCAGGTTAACCAGGCCAGACTATCAGAATCCTTGTTAGTCATACTCTATACACTAGAAGTAATAGGTAATGTACTGTACCTGCCTAACATCATCATGTGAGCAACAGTAAACATCACCACCGGCACAATTTTCACCGAGGGCCCCTGGTAAAACGTTGCCCAAAGAGATAAGACCACCGTTGCCTTGTCCTTGACAGACAACAGTTTGGTGACTAGAACAAACTTTCCTATGGGGGCCACCATGACTCCCACACTCATCAGAATGTCTATTAGGATGGGCCAAAACGACCGCAGCAAAAGTGAAAAGAACCATAGGAGCCTTCATAATGGTGGATAAGTACTATAAGATAGATTATATGCTACAGGAATCCTAAAGAGATTTAACTAATGGTTAAGCATAAGAATTTATAGCCGGGAGGTGCGTAGGAAAGCGCCACTCAGTGGAATTTCTAGAATTTATAGACCGCACTTCTTTAAATTAACAACAGTGTGGGTCGTTGATAGCCTGTCCCCCTGGATGTCCAATCAAGAAGTAGGCTACTAGTGTAGGGATGTATCTTTTCTTAATACTTCATTAATCCACAAGGTTTCATTTCATTTCATTTTGGTTGAAATTACTCCAAAGAACCTACTCTAAACACATTAGGGGGGAGAGTGTGCTTTATTTTGACTGCAAGTATTCGGCACATAGGCATGATGAGAGATGTAGATCTTAGGGGAGGCTCAATTCCTTGCATCTCTGTGTTCCAAGCATGCAAGGCGATGTCGAGCGCCACTATATGATGAAAGTAGAGTGATACATTCTTAACATGCAAGGAATAGGTTTGTTGCTATTTGCCGTGGACCTACAGAATCCCTTGTAGAGGGATATATACACTGTATTTTACCCCTTACTTTATTCAGCTGAGGATCTCTGTGACCTGATAAGTACTACTTTTATATAACAGTCCCCTATTAACTTCAGGAATACATCTCAACCATAGTTGCTACTTATTTCTGAGTCTGACCTTTCTAAATTTCTAGACTCTATGAAAGCAAATCAAGCACTAGTAATATAAAGATTTTCACTGTTCTCTCTGAAGTAATATTTGCTACGTTTATGGTAGTAGGGCCTATGGAGAGTAATACTAAACTTAGCAACCAAGTTGGAAAGTGATAGGTATAGATCTAAGAAATGCTTTACCATGAATTTAGAAGTACAGGTTACAGTGCTGACTGGAGTGAAATATGGATAGCTTGAGAGGTTCCTTAAAGAACATCCGCTGACTATGTTGTTCTAGTGAGCCATCATGGTAGAAGCAACAACGGAGGTTGTGGGGAAAATCAGAGATGTAAGAACAGAGGATCATGCTACTACAGCAGTAACTGATAACTTTTTCTTGCTAGCATGTTCTCTAAAGACATGCTACTGCAGTCTGCCCTATCAACCTGCTGCCGATTACCCGACCAAATACGAGACCCCGCAGCTGCACAGTTGATCCAGAAATATATAAACACTAAATCCCATCTCCTGTAGAGTTCCCATAACCCCATCCAGGAACGTCCTCTCTACAACAAGATACACCTTGACAAGCAACGCAATCTTCCCCATGGAAGGCGGCTGCGCATGCGGCCTCATCCGCTACCGTCTTGAATCCCATCCCTTAATCGTCAACTGTTGCCACTGCACCTCCTGCCAGCGCGAGACCGGCACCGCATTCGCCATGAACGCAGTAATCGAATCTACCCTTGTCACGCTCCTCCCCTCTGCACATCCAACTGTCCCTGCGTCCGCGGAGGGCCCGGCAAAACCAGCCCGCCCTGCCCCGGCAATCCCGCATGAAAACCAGACAGTTGAGCCAGAAATGATCCCCACGCCGTCTGAATCAGGCAGGGGCCAAAAGATCGCGCGCTGCCCTCAGTGCTATGTGGCTGTTTGGTCGAACTATGGTGGCCTGGGACCGTATTGTCGGTATGTGCGGGTAGGGACGCTGGATGAGGCGTGGAGGGTTGCGCCGGATGCGCATATTTATACGGCGAGTAAGAGGGATTTTGTGAGGTTGGACGATAGAGTACCGCAGTTTAGGGGGTATTATCGCCGTGAGGAGGTGTGGAGCGAAGAGAGCCTCGAGAGGTGGGCGGCGATTTGGCCGGAGATCGTGAAGTATAAGGAGGGGTTGGCTTGATATTGTATGTACGCAGGCATTGACTTATTCTATACTCAAGTACCTTGTAGTATTGCGGAAGAAATGGATAGGCACGGCTAAGTTAAACTATAGTCTGTACAACATAGAGATATAATATAATACAACGCGGCCAATACTAGAGCATGTCTCTGAAAGATGCTGGGATAATGCTTCATGTACTGATGGCTGTTAATACTGATATGGACGCCTTCCACACTCTACATTCATTTAAAGCACGAAAATTGATCGGCCGCTCAGTTAGTTTGCCCGAGGCAGTCCAGTAGCTTCACATTTATAGTTTAACTGCTGCATGAGGGCCTTGTTTTCCCTTACCATACCATCGGTCAGCCAGGTCTACCAGCTACCTTCTGGCTGCAGAACCCCTGTCTCATTGCTTTTCCTTGGTGCTACTTGGGGGGAAGGGATGGAACACACTGAAATGCTGTAATTTCTTTACATTATTATCTACCCCATATATACTTATCATGCTCATGCCCCAAACGCACAGCACAGCACATATTTAGGTACCTTAGCATTCACTCCTCCAAAGGCAATATCAGCCTGTCACCATAAGGTCCGCATTGCTGTCCTGAATGATATTGACGTTTTGATTAATCAAGCTCATTATATCATTTCCAGGATATCTTCACAATAGGTTGAGCCTCAGAGTATAGTCCTGAGGATTGCATAATCCCAGGATTGTTTATTCCCAGGTCTGTCATCTTAGGAATTAGCCAAACCTGGGAATGCAATACCTGGGTTTAGATTCCATGATAAGGAGATTTCTGGTTTAGGTCCTTCTGGAGTCTACTCTGTCCTGGGAATCAGTATCCTGGGAATCGGTAGCCTGGATCAACAATGTACTAGGATACACGAAATGTATTTGTTTATAAGAGCGTTACTGTACTTTTGTCGAGACTTTATTTCAACTAAAAAGACGCTATGTCTTCCACATCTGTGATCTTTCTGTGCTGTTCTCTGTCGATCATTCCTCTGGGAGAAAAGTGAGACCATGGGAAAAAAAATCCACAACCATCTGGGCTCTTAGTCAGGTGTGGGGATTATGTCTAGATTATAGGCTCCTTCGTCTTTAGTAGCTCAAAAATTTGGAAGTGGAGCCCTAATGCCAGTGGGACCAGTTAGTTACCAAGGAATATATCCAAACCTTTATCTGGTAAATCTTATCCATCACGACCTTCTAGTTCCAGAATGACACGTCCATCCCTTCTGTACCGAACAAAGCTCTGACCTGCTAGGCGGGACTCCTGGTATTGTCCCCACCGTTCGATCTCCGAATCTTTCATATCAACAGCTTGTTCAAGAATTGGACGCGTATCTTTAGTGACAACCTGGGAGACAACCTGCCAATACTCTCCCAGGAATGAGCTTTGCGTGTACTTCAAAAATACGACGGCAGTGATAAGAACGACGATAAAATGAGTCGCAATTATCACCACAGCAATAATGAATCCTGTCCAGCGCGTGGGTGTTAATGCCGCGGTGGTAGACGCAATGACTGCTCGTGCTGTAGTGTCAAGTCTGGGCAGAAGCTCGTAGTACACCATCTGGGAGCTCCGTGTGATTAACGTCTGGATGGCTAGCGCTGGACTCCCCGTAGCAATCAATGTGTCTTGAAACAGGTCCACATGAGCTAGATGAGCGTTATCGATGTAGAATGTGTTTTCCTTAGAGAGTAAGACTCCAGGGTTGGGCCGGGTAGAATTTTCGGGGAGATAACTTGCGAGAGGGATGGGCAAGGAAGTCAGAAAGGGCCAGACGGAAAATGTCGAGTTGATCCCCTTTTGCGGCACCCCGTCGTTGTATTCCTCCCACTGCGATCTTGGCGAGAGCGACAGTACGCCACGACGGTTTAGACTGTCGGGTGTTAATGAGGCTCTAAGCTGCTGTCGGCTTCCTGAGGTATTGAAGCCGTCGCTGCTCCATAAAAGCCGGGGCTCTAGACCGTCCCAGGAACTTTCCATGTCGACTACAAACGTCCTGGAGAACGTGTTCGTGATGCATGCGGTCATGCGTAGACTCTCGGTATTTGTGGATCCATTGCTGACTACAGCCCATGGCCCGTCACCGCGGATGGTACCAACCTCGTATTTCTTTTGGCTTCTGATGATCCATTCATTTGCGTCTTCGGAAAGAACATCTAGGATGTAGAACAGCCAGGACACAGTTTGGGGCACGAGTTGGTCCGCCGAGTTGATAATGCCCAGGCGAGTGGGACTACATAGACTAGATACCCCTTTGGTGGCGTTGCCGTGAGACAGGCCCGGTGGCACCACGCAGTTGAAGTCATAATAATGCGATGTGTTCGTTTCGTTAAGTGTTGGATAGACACTTCCATTTAGGCTCATTTGGCCGGCCAACCGCAGCACGGAATCTCCGTCCAGTGTGAGGTTGAATAGCGATGGCCGCATACAGATCACCCGATTGTCTGTCACTGGTGCCGGGCCATGATATCTGCGTAGATTTGTTCGTTGCGTCTCTGTTTCAAAAGGAAGAAAGGCTCGATAAGTGTGCCCAGTATCTTGAAACCCTGGACCTTCTGAGAAAGACTGCGATGCCTCAGCAAAGGTGTAACTAGCTGCTGGGGACGTCGACCACCAAGGCGAGGTAATCTCTCCATTATATCGGAAGAGTAGGATATCGGTGGAATTGTTTGAGTTGATAAAGACGCCATCAGCCAGGTCAGAAATAAGAAGCGTAGAAAGGAATTGCGACGCTATAGTGACTATGATTTCAAGAAATGCAAGTATGCAGACACAGAATGAGAGGATGCTCCTTCTTGGTAGTAGTCTGGGCGGAAAGAGAAAAACGTGGGGAGAAGTACTGGCGGCCCGAATAATGGAGAAGAAGGGTGCGTGGAGCAGTGGAGTGCCGATCGCTTCAAGAATAACACTAGCAATCATTGCCGTAGCTTGACTCGCTTGGAGAGCGATAATTATCCTGATAAGCGCCGTACATATTGTGATGAGCTTGGATATCCAGCGTGCGTTGATGATCTGAATCCACGGCGCCTGCGGCTGACCCCCAGATACCGCTGCTGTCGACTCCTTCCATATTAGGGCTAAGAGAGCCACTGAAGGTAGAAGGAGCGCAGAACCAAGATATAAAGTCAAAATTCCAATGGTTCCGATGCGCCCCCAAAGGGTTCTTTTTCTCAATTTGTGCTGCCCATAATGAGGCGCGTCAGGGTCGTTTTCCATAGCCGCATTCTGGGCAGAGAGGGGGACATATTCGGTCACCCTGTTGCCTGCGTAGCCCGTCATGACTTCGGTGGGCTGAGCCTTTTAAGCTCCGGCAACGCTTACAAAAATATGTATTGAATATGACGTCCCGAGCTGTTGCTCCAGGGAAGGTCAGGAAGGGTCAGAAATCTATTGAATGATGTGTAAGTGATAGAATTAAGCTGAGATGTGCTGGTCCAACACAGGATTCCTGTCATATGATCGCATCCAATTTCCAGCGGTGGCTTGCAGCTCACACGTGTCTAAGCTGACCCATCATATTTTTAAGTGCTTTTTGATCCTATCAGAACTCTTTCAATTCCTTTGGGTATATATACGCCCTAAGTTGCCTTTAGCCGTTGAGTTCTCACGACTACGAGCTTCGAACAGCTTGTTCGCGAAGATTTGGTTCAAGGAAAAGCAGAAGAGCTGAGCGTTTGCATGACTCGCCAATATCTCACTGCTCTAAGCTCCAGACCGGCATCGCTCTCTCATCCCACAGAATCAGAATACATCACCATGTCCCTTGCGGCTCAGGAAGCGATCTGGCTGATACTTCTGTCGTCTGAGCTCTCCATGCTAGAAGGAGTTGACTTCGGCTGTTCCTTACAACAAGCGCCTAAAAAGTCCAGGGTAATCGACAATAAAACCATCCTCGTCTGTGGTAAGCTCCGCCATAAATCCTGAAGTCAAGCCCTCGTAGCGATACAATTTGTTCGGCTGGAGACATGTATACCGTTGCTCCACCGCGACCGGCTTAAGAGCTGGAACCGGTATATACACAATACGGAGGACTTGCACTGCGCCTTGTTTCAGTTGTAAGCGACGGATCGGGAGTGTATTGGTAAATGGTGTTGCGGAAATATCAATATCAATGCATCCATCAAGACCAGTCATGTGGGTTCCACTAGCATCGAACCACTTTCCTTTGCCGTCAGCACTCAGAACCTGTTTCTGATCGGCTGCCGTGTCCTTTATCTCAAGCTCCCTCACGGCCCAGTTGGCGTCGAGAACTATTCGATAGAATATCCCGTATTTTGCGCCATTTTGAGTCCCGACCACCACGCTCTGGGCGACCAAGCCGCTGGTTGTCGTCCTGATGTGAAGATGTTCGATTCCGTTTCGGTCCATGGGCTCCCATCGTGCTGCCTTGTCCAGGTCAGCCATTATGAAAGTGAAACTCGGCCTGGAGCTCCGTTGGTATTGCGTGCACCTGATAAGTAAGGGGATGGAGCATGGGTGAAAGTGCTCAGTCCGGTAGCGCTTTTCTCTGACACTTGAGGTTGGTAACCATGTGACGCGATATATGCTTGTCAATTGGATGGTACCCGGGACATCTCATGATGACTAAGCGAGGGAGCTAAGGCACAGGGGACGGCGTCATGTTCCAACACTGACACTCAACTTCCTAGGTAGCCCTCTGAGAGTTGTATTAGGAAGAATATTGTAGATAATACGAGGTAAGTCCATTCTTGCCCCAATAATTCTAATAAGCAGAAAACCATCTATCTCTCTGCCGGGCTCAATGCCACCGGAGGTGATAGACCTTGCGGAAGCGGGGTGCGGGGGAGACAGCGACGGGGACGTGACGAACATCATCGTGGAAACCCCTGGAGCGGCTATTGCAACGAGCTGTTAAGCCGGTGCATTATAGCCAGGAACAGGAAAAAGAAGCCACGGAGAGAGCAATCTGGACCTGCCAAATGTGGTGCACAGCCTGTGCGAAGCAAATCAAGTTGTCCAGCACCAAGTCTTAAACATATACGAAGCAAACAAGGCTCTACAGCACCAGGTCTCCAGGCTAGCCAATGATGAGCTTGGAAAGGAAGAAGTAGAATCCTGCAGACGCGAAGCGGGATACCAGAATGCGGTCTTAGGGCTACGGCCCAAGCTGAGGGGTATCAAGCAACTCATATCTCATGAACTGCTGGCGGCGAAGACTACGTGCAGATGGAAGAAAATGGATAGGCATGGATAAGTTAAACTATACTCTGTACAACCTAGAGGATATAATAAACAGTAAGCTAATACTAGCAGAAGTCTGCGGGAGACAGTGCTTTGTTAATCTACCATATCTGACCAAGATATGGCAGTCTGACACAGGGCATCACTACTGACAGTAACATAGCTGGGTGCTTTCAACTGGTACATAAGACCAAGAAAGCAGTGGCAACAGCCTGTGTGAGTTGTCTGTTGATACCCTTCTTTGAGTACGACGTATTCTTCAAACAAAGACATTCAAACCTCGAAACCACTAGCTCAATTCGCAATAGGAAGACCTTATTATCCATATTCGAGTATCAATAAGCTCTGCCTGCTTTGATCTATTGACATGTATATACCTCGAAGCGAACAAAGAACATATCCAATATATAGGCTGCCTCGCCTCATCTCCATCCCTAACCCAAATCAACACCTCAATCAAATCATATATTCGCCGTACCAGATCCAATCACCATGAAATTCACCCTCTTGACACCCGCCCTCCTCATCCTGAGCGTCGACCCCCTCTCGGTCGTGGCACATCCAAATCCAAACCCACCCACCGTCCTCCGTAAATGCATGCCCCTCCTCAGCGACATCGGCGAAGACGAAGCATGGTTCATTGCGAACCTGCAGTGCAATTATGCTGTAAGTCCATCATCCATTTTCCTTATCAATACTGAGTTGACTTGTCTTAGTGCCAGAAAAATGGATTCAATGGGGGTGGGTGTGATAGGGCTGCATAGTAAGTTTACCTTTCTCCTTAAGCAGAGGCGTGTTTTGCTGATGGGTTGCAGTGAGTGTCACTGTTCTTGAGCACTGTGTATTATCTAGGTTTGAGTGCGTTGATAATGAGTCGGTTACTTTTTGGGTGATATGGAGATCTTGTTAGATGTTAGAGATGTTGGATCTAATATACAACTACAAAGAGATGGGTACACAGCCACTTTCTCAAGACCAACTATTGCCTAAAGAGGTATCAATAGTTATTCTAGTCTCAATAACATTAGCATAGGCATGTTAATATCCAGACAAAGAATGTAAATATCTATAGTATTCTTCTTTCTACCTGTTTGAGTCTATCAACTGATCCTCCGTTTTCCTCTCACCAATGATAGAACGTGATAGGTTGGTTCTAAGACATCGACATTATAGAGTGCTTGTCCTTGTTAGGTTATTTATTTAATACTGATTATGACACATAGAATAAATATAACCTACTTCCGTACACAGAGGAGTGCTTATTTCCTACACACACGCATAACACTATGTGGGGGACAGAACATTGAGTTGTAAGTCCAGGCCCCTTTTACTATTGTGCGCCTGGCTTGGCAACTTTAATCTTAGCCTAGGTTACATTGCTTGACTTTCTTAGCGACTAGACTAGGCAATGAGGCTGAATTGTGAGTCAGTAGCAGTAGTGCTACTAGCTTGTGCAGCGGAGTCAATCCTGGAGCTAATAACTATATAAGCTTGCAGTCCCCGCACTAGTCGAACCACCATTTGTATCTCGATCAAGATGGATCTCCAAACGCAGCTGGAGCCAAGGCTCCTCTTACAAAAGGCACCACCCGCCATCGCTCGTCATTTTCAAGATCTGATCAAATCTGAAAGCGCGGATATCTACGCAATCAACACACATCTGCTTTCTCAAGTCCACGGTGAATCCATCCCCCTGATCATCTACGAGATCTGGTTCCCTCTGGCGATAAAGCATGCCCCTGAACTCCTCCATGGCGCACTCACGGATCGCATCTCCTGCGGCGTCCGCAAGACAAGTATGCACGCCCTACGACGCATGTTCCACAGTAGGAAATGGAAGGAGACGTGGGATTCCCTCGGTGGCGCGGCCGGCATCAAAGAGATCATTGACAATCTCGCGCTGAGCGAAGTGAAACAGCTGGCATTAGTTATTACCGCCATTGGATACCAGGGCTCTTGCGAGGTGATCTGGACTTCCGTGGAGAAGCTGCTTCATCTCGTGGCCGAGTCGGATCGCATCACTGGTCGGTCGATATCGCCTACTCTTGCCCCGTTAATCCAGCTTTGCAGCGAGAGTTACGTGCTTGCGTATCTGGAGCGACAAGGCCCACGGGGCGACTTGCGTCTGGCAGAAATAGGGCGTTTCCATTTGGATCTCCTGCGGAGGATGAGCGTGGGAACGGTTGAAGTCTCGGAAGATCTGCGCGTTCAAGTCTTCTCGTCCCAGATGAAAGACCTCGTGCGCTCGCAGCAGGAGTATGAACCAGTACATCTCCCCCCAGATATGCCTGCCGACGTTCACCCTGGCATGGCGTTTTGTCTCGACATGGTTCACGCCGTTTCCGCAAACGCTAGCTTCAAAAACCGGATAGGTACAACTGTAGCGATCTCGATCCAGGCTACGCTGAAACTGGCGACGAAAAAAGGGTGTTCCTTGGACCATGTACTGAAGTTTCTCAAACACGTCTTGCCGGCTTATTTTGAGCATCGTGAGAAGGGCAGGCCAGATCCACTTCGGCACGAGATCCTCAGATGGTGGTCTATTGCTCGCGCGGAAAATATTCCCTTTAAAGAGTCCTTCTGGCTTAAGCGTCTCTTGTTCAACAATGATGCAAAGTTCTTCTCCCTCCATCTGGAACTGCTGGAAGACTTCCTACTTCAAATGCTGCGGCAGCAAGCCGATCGCAAATTGAATGTTCGCAGCGATCCCAGAGAATTTTACAAGAACCTGAATGACTATTTATGTGAAATCCCAGCGGACGTAAAACTGGCCTTCATAAAACTCATTTGTCGCAAATTGCCCGCCATCGATGTGGATCTCGATACATGGCCCCCTTCGGAGCGGGAAAGCCAACTCCTCCCATACTGGAAAGTGGAGATCCTGCAACGTCTGCCGACGTCTGATGCAAAATGGCTTTTCAGTCGCATGTTGGCGATCCACGGTTGCGAGGAGTTTCTTCCAGACCCGGACTACGCCTCTCCGAATGGAAACCGAATGACATGGACAGAACAGTGCTTGTTGAAGATAGACTGGGAAACCGACGAGGACGCCAGTGGTCAGCTCCCTGTTGCCCGTACAGGTTTGTCCACCCTGATCTTCATATCATGCAATGCTGACAGGTGCAGTGCTGGCGGAGTCGAAACGTCGGGCAACGCGGGAACGAGACCCTCAAGGAAGATTGGCCTGGGCCAACGCCACTCTGCAATTCGCGATCGCGAGCAAGTCCTTGGATATCTTTCAAGAAACTGTGGAATGGAGCAAGCGATTCCTTCGAGATCCAGTTGTCTTTCCGGGACTATTGGATATCCTTTTCAGCAGGAAGACGGCGCCCATCCTTTCCTGCACGGGCATTCCAGTCCCGAGAAGGCCAAAAACTCTTTCCGAAATTAAAGCAGTTGTGGAGCAGAGTAACGAGATTCTCCGGTTGTACCTGGACATCGTACACCGTATTGTCCGCGAGCCGCATTACCAGAAGAGTTTGACCAGCGGCATCCCCTATCTCTTTAGCGGAATAATATCCCAGAGAATCGAGAATTTTGAGAATTTTGATATGGCTAGTCAAGGCACTGAACTCGAACGCGTCGACGCCCTGTTTTACTCTCTGCTACCTATTATTCTCGAATTTGAGGGCCTGGCAAACAACGAGGACACCAATAAGTTCACTTGGAGCGGCTTTGGTGGTGCAGTTTCTCGGATTGACCGCCTTTATGACGTGCACGAAGCTATTGTTCCATTCCTGGATCGTATGGCGTACGAACGGAATCAGTTCTGGGTCAAGAAAAGGAGGGATGACGACCCCAAAATCATGGATTTACCCCTAGCCTTCCCGCAAGGCCTTCCCCTGGAATATCTCCTCCCTGGTCTGGAACTGACCCACCTTGCCAACGAGTATCCGAACGAAATGTATTACGTGGGCTCCAGGCTTGCTGAGGTTCTGGTGCCTCAGACGGGCGTGATGCTAAGCGTCGTCCCTGCCAGTGTTGCTAAGAAGAATTACCCCATTGACAGTCTTGCTTACGCAATACAAGCCGTCATAGAAGATCCCTCCGTTGCAGTGAAGGAAATGGAGCTCTTGCAGATCTGGAAAAGATACTCTGATGCCTTGCGCCGCCATCCAGATCAGTTGGAGATCTTCAAGGAATGGCTTGCTGACTTGGCCCGTCGAGAACGCTTATGGAACGCGGCCAATATAATCGACCCACCGCTGCCTCCGACAAAGTTTTCGATATCCACATATTTTGAACAACGTTCTGATCTTGATAATGTGGTCGAATGGKATCCTCTGCCGGTACCTGCTCCTGTGGACAGCTCAAGCACGGAAACTGAGTCAGAGGAGAAGAAGGTTGAACACACGATCCTCATCTGCCGCATGGATGCCGCAGATCGAATCATCAGGAAAAAGATTCAGCCTGAGGAGGATCCGTTGCGGATTTGGTCTCACACTGGCTGCTCTGTGCCGCTCCTAGAGCGTGAAACTGTCGCGCTTTCTGCACTCTTGTACCTCGACACTCTCAATCAGCAGACGAAGCGAATTCTACGCCGTCCCTGGCCGGAAAATGTCTCCTCGCCTCGCTACCCCGCCATCTTCCTCGCAGACGAGTTTCTGACTGCGTTTGAAACGAGAGGCAACAGGGCCATCTATGCAGCGACAAATGCTCTGAAGAAATGCGTAAAGTTCGTTTCCGCGCAACTACTCCGTGATGTTGTCGTCTCGTTGCTCGAGATGCTCACGGAAAATCCGGACAAAAATCAACCAAACTACTCCACAATCCTATCGGTCACGATGAACTTGATCAAGCTGCTGCAAGAGACAGACCAGCCTCAACTGGCTATCGATGTTGTGCTCCGAATCCTCAAGTTTTTCCCAGACGCATCATCGTACCATCGGCAAATGAGACTGTCGACGCTGGGGGCACGACTCCTGCCGCAGGACGCCTCCCTAATGGTCAACAGGTTCGCCAGCTTCGTCTGCAAAGTCGGTAAACCTGAGGCCGGACAGTCCGATGGTCTTGGTTCATCGACAAAGAACCCGCCCTATGTTAAGATCACGACAATCAAGATGCTCGCCCAACTCCTCGCCGACGCAGCCTTTGTCGATATATCCACCTGTATTCGCATACTTCAAAATATCTTCGATTCAAATAGCCACATTGATGTCCGCACTGAAGTTGTCATGGCAGTTCTGCGACGGTTCCACCGCGTGGCAGACGTCACGCCGGTATTTACTGTACTCGCCTCCATGGCGAGCGCCGCTTCTGGCCCGAGCGAACGAGAAACTATATCGGAGGCCGACTGGCTTGCCGCCGAAAATGGAGAGAGACCTCTTCCAGAAGTCGCCCCCGTATGCGATCGCCCCTTGTTCGGTTGCTTCCTCAGAACCGCTTCCTACTTCCCTAAACAGTCCCGCAAAGAATATGTGCACAAGGTACTCCTCCCGCTATTGGAAGAATCAGCTCGGCAGCACACTCGCTGGATTCGATGTTTCCTGTCACAAGTCCACCTTACTCCTGAAGAAGACAATGCCATCACGTCCCTCAGTAAGATCTGGACCTTTGATCCATCCGCCGTCGGCTCCCTCTTCAATACCTGGAGACAATATCTCCCAAAATCTTACCTTCGCCAACACAGGTGCTGGGCCCTCGCTTACATCCAGTACCCTTACGTGGAAACGATAAACAAGAAGCTTTCTGCGAAAAATAAGGGGTGGCGGGGCAGCGCGGAGGGAAAGCACTGGCTCACTCTAGAGTCGCACCTGCGTAGCCGCAGGCCCTTCGCCGCAATAGACAAAGGTATCGCTGCGGGGGGACAAACGCAGGTGGAGGGTGACATAACAGCCTCCGATCTCGTGGACGAGTACATCTATCGCGCGGGAGTAGTGACTCGGCACCCGGTGAGATTTGATGAGAAGCTCGGTCGGTTCGTCGTTTCCGTAGAAACGAGTTTGGAGTCATTGAAGATTTTGAAGGGAAGGATGAGGTGTGTATCTGATCCTGGGAGGTATGACTTGCTGCAGGGCATGATGGAGCGGATTGTCGCGGATATCGAGTCGTTGAGGACGGCACAGTGGATGGAAGATCCATACAGGTCGCCTGCTATCCTGCCGTCGAGGTTGGCAATCGAGGTGCTGCTTCTGCCGTCGCCGACATACAATCCTCGCACAAACCATCCGGGAATGGAGTTCGGGAGGAGACTTATGGACCTTCTGAAAAAGTTTGCCGACAATCCTCTGTTGCTGGTTGAGTTTGACGCTGTCAAGGCGCAGTTGGACGAAGTGAAAAAGAAGGACCTCGAATCCTTTGCCCTTCTCTTTGGGAACGATGGCGAGGAAGACCAGGAAACACTGTATCGGCGCTTGAAAGTAGACATTGCCCGGCGCACTTTGGAGAAGATCAAGTCAGGGGATCTGCGGCAGAACGAACAGTTGATGGCAATGATCCGCAGGTGGAAGGCGAGCAGCAGTGACTGGGTGAGACAKGTCGGATGGAGTTTTGATGGAACTTTCTGAGAACATGGTGCACTGGAAATATGATTCCCGCTATCAATATCAGCACCAAGGAAATGCTATCCACGATTCTATTGAAACAACATAAATTCTCAACGGACCACGTAGAAGCCTTTCATAGTAATCTGTCGGTCTCGCATCGCCGCTGTAGGAGATCTCACTCCGAGCCAATGCAGTGGGACACGTTCAACGACCTTCTGGCCACGCGCCCGTATGTTTTCAACTCCCTCTTTGGTACGGTCAATAACTCCGGCTTCTCTTCGACTATCCGGTCCCCAAGCTGGATACTCCAGCACATTCTGGGCGTATGCCGTGTCGCACGCATCCGCCAACATGGCCGCTTCTGCAGCGGCATTTCGGGCTTCCAGCAATTCCTCCTCACTCGTTCCGCGTGGTGGCGGCACATCAGGCCGAAGAAAACCAAGTACGCGTACCTCGACCCGGGGTTGAGACGGGAGTTGGAGCTCCTCGAGGAAGCGAAGCGTGGTCACTCGCTTCGTGACCTGGGACATGTTCACACGCGCTTGCTGAGAGGGATCCAAATTGCGGATGGCAAGGATGGCCTGGTACCATTGAGGACCCGGGGATTCGCTAGTCCCATTTGCGGCTAGAAGTCGTGCCCAGCCGAAGAAGAAACCATGTAACCGGTCCAAAATCAGATCGGGGACCTTACTGAGTCGAATCCATTGCATGTCATAGGCCCCTTGCACGGCTTCAGCTCGCGCCTTGAAGCTCATGGGATACGGCGGACTTGGTCCTGTCTCTAAAGAGATCGATTCCTGCTGACCGCCGGCCATTGCCGCCGAAGGGCTCTGATTACTGTGGTCATCGCCTGACCGCATCGACACGCCAACTCCGCATGCTGTCTCAGCAGCAGTCCGTTTCACCCATGAGGGCTTGTATGGTTGAATTTTCGATTGCACAAGCGATGTGCCCGGGCTGATGACGCTCTGCGCCGCTGTCTGCGCGTATAGCCCCAGCACCATCGCACCCACCTCCAACGGTAGGGTAGCCAAGCTAGCGCCACGAATCGAGCTCGGAGCAAGCGAGGTGGAAAGGATGCGAAACACTGGGCTCGTACAAAGAACCTTTTTTTTCGGCCCCTGACACAGTACAACCTGAAAGTACCCATCGCCGGCCTCAGCAGGGATCCGTGCGACGGCCGTCTCGCGCAGGCGATGTGTGTCGCGCACACGCGACGGTGCCTTTTTCAGAAACTTGGCAATGTCACGCTGCCATGCCCGCTCGTCGTTTGGCTCGACTTGGTCGGAGCGCAAGGCCAGAGTGGGAGTGATGTCCAGCCAGTCATCCGTCAGTCTGAACAGAGCCTTGGCGCGCATCCCCGTTTTCCCTGTCCAGCCCTTGTTCTGGAGCCACAAGGAACGATCGGGAGGTAGAGGGGCGTCAGAGAAGATAGAGATCGTGACAGATGTAGTACTGCCCCGATAGAAGACCACACCGGGTGAGTGGCGTAATATGGTAAAATGCTTATTGGACTCCGCAGGGCGGTTGAGGAGTCCACCCAGAAAATGCCGGGCTTCACCAAATGCTTTTTGCACAGTTACTGGAGCCGACGACTGAGTAGTTCTGCATTCCGATGCAGGAACCATGTCCGTTGCAGCGCGCCGGACAGAGGTGGAAGTCCCAGCATTGCTATTGAAGCTCCTCTCGCAGCGACCAGAATAGGGGTCAGCAATAGTGTTAGCGGATGCTTTGGACCTCAACGGTGGGCGCGGAAGCATCGGAGGTGAAACATACGCCGACGAGACCGTCGTTACACCCCTAATGGTCGGACTGGGAGGTTGTGATGAACATCTCTCGCCATCATTTGTATAGCTTTGATGGAGATGGGGATTGGAGACTGGTTTTCGACGAATACGGAACTGAGGAGGATCCGGTGGATGCAGAAATAATTCATCAGCGGGAGTCATTGTGTTGAAGTATAGGAGATATGCAGTAGTTAATTTCAATATAGAAGCAGAACCATGTTGATCGATCGATGAATGTTTGGATCCTGTAATCCTGTCGAATCATTTGATGGAGGAAGGACAAAGTGGATGACGCCTATCCGATGAGGGATGCAGCGGATTGGATAAGCATTGCTTAGTAATCAGGCATAACATCCAGACTCGTGCAGGGAATAGGATCCAATTTCCTTTTTTGGATGCTTTCTTTATTCACTGCGATTCGGACAAGATCCTACCCATGCGGGGTGGCCCCGATGCAGATCGCCCCATACTAGTCAGAAAAGGGGAGCTTGTTGTCATTCTCAATATGTGAATCCACGCAAAAAGAATATCTACAGCCCTGACGCATACTGCTTCCGTCCGGAGAGATGGGAAACTGGTGAGTTAGATCACATTCAGTGGGCTTATTTTCCTTTCAGCGGAGGTCCACGGCAGTGCCTCGGGGAGGATTTCGCCCTGATGGAGGTTTCATACACTATCGTGAGGCTATTGCAGACCTTTGCATCCATCATCCTCCCAAAAGGGGAGCCGATCGAGGCCGTTGGACGCGAAAGACAGCGCCTCACTCTTGTTCTTTCAAGTGCCGATGGTTGTAGGGTACATATTCGTTCCTCCTAACAGGGTCCTGGCTTAGGGAAATGATTTAGCTTGTAGCATGCTTACGACTCTGACACCGCAGCAAACTGTATCCTTGCAATTTTATGATACTGTAAAGTACATGTTGAGGGATCATATCCTTGTACAGACACCTCGACAAAATCTCTATTGTGCAGACTTATTTTCCTGAAGTGAAATAACCTTTACATCTTCCTGTTGAAAGAAATTTCTTGAGGCTGACGCTAGTACGTCGTTGAATGAAGAGCCGTAAGTGGTTGTCTTACAGCACTCTCTTACTGTCAGTCACTGGGCCCTGTCCAAAGTCCACAATACGCCAGAGCACTGATCCCTGGCGGTCCGGCGGGAAGCGTGTGCGCGGGGCGAGGCCGGGACAGGTATAATACCAAAGATTCCCTTGCGTAGAATGGCATTACCTGTCTATATCTTAAGAAACCTTATGGCACTACGTCTGACTAGTTGACTAGGTATCTTATCCATAAGATCATATTATTCGACGTAGGAGGCATAAGTTGATACATAAGTGATCACCATCCAGAAAGCCAGGTACGCAGCAATACTTTCATCTCATGTAGATTGTCAAGTCACCGAGGCAATCGTCCATGTCAACCACTGGAGCCTGCACGTAGTGACTGACCATCTTGCGTACGCGCGACGAATCCGGATCAGTGGTGTAGGGGCTGGAGCTGTCAGTTTGTGCGTTCGGCGGAAAGAGCGGTTCAAACATACCAAACCCAGGTTACCTGACCATTCCTCACACGCTGTTCCCACTTTGCGACATCTGGCTCGGAAGGCCTGACGGTGTTCCAAATCATCGCCGCGGGCCACTGAACATCGGCAATGATCTGCTTCACGGGCACGTTGGGGCTGACACAAAAGACGAGAGTGGATTCGTCGACTGCGAGAAACCCCTTTGGATCGTCCAGCGGGGTGATGCCGATGCTTCTAAGCAGTGCGATATCGACCTCGTCGTATGCAGGGTCCTGCGCAAAACATCTTATCCCCTCGTTCCTGTTGCCTTGTCTCGCCTTCAGTGCTTGCACCATGGTTGCAACGGCAGCATGCTGGGTGTGAGAGCGTGCAGCGCTGCGGGAGCTCAAGCGGCCCAAAGTGCCCAGTCCAAAGCAGACGATCTTGGTGATCGGGCGAGAAAGACTCAGAGTGGCCAGTTGCTTCTGCAGAGCCTCGCAGGCCTCGCTCGTCTGCCACACTTCGCGCTGTTTGTCGAATGCTTTGCGCACTTCCTGCAGAGAATTCTCGGGTTTCTTATCATTTCTGGTGTAGCATATGGCAACGGGAGGTTGGTCACGAAGGATCTCATCTGGCATGAAAGGGTTGACGGTGGTCATAGCTTGGATGCTACAATAGGAGATGCGGTACGAGTTCCTGGACTCTGTCAGTTATTGCTTTACCTTAGGGCAACCAGCAGATCTTACGCCCAATCTGCACACCAGGCTGGAACCTTGAGGCTATGTTTCTGAGGAACGCCATCCAGATCTGCAATGTGCACCTCCTCACGTCCCTGATCGATCTGACGACTGAGGTCTTGGAGAACATCGCGAGGGAAGAGAGGCTGTCCCGATGCATACGCCTTGAGAATACGGCGAACCTTCTCTTCTGCGGTGGCCCGCTGTTCCTCCTCCATTGCCATAGTGCTGGTTAACGAGGACATAGTGGATGAGAGAAGAGAAAAGTCTCTACGTCAGGTGTGATTACTTGTTGAGAGGGCGGTGGGAAATAATCACTCTTGACCGTGAATATCCTTAGTCTTCACTCACTGTCCTGAAGAACAATGATAGTAGTTGGTCTGGCTGCTCTGAGACTCATTTAAATAACCAACCCGTTCATTCACAAAGGTATGGTGTGGAGGCTTTATCCTCTGTAGCTCAAAAATAGCCATATTCCTTGATGTTGGATCGATCAGGACAGTCTCCATCAGATGTTTGCTCCTCTCTATTTTCTTACTATCTGGGCTACACAAGACCATTGCTCGCATGGGCCTCACCGCCATCGTCGACTCAACGATCCAGGCTGTGTACTCTTGTTCCAACAGGCTAATCGTGTCACAGCATCCTCATTGGTTCGGGAAGAGAAGACCATCCTATTAATATCCGAAACTGTGTGATTTACCTGGAAGAAACCCAACTAAACTACTATATTGGGTAATATTAGGGATATTTTTATCCCAATCAGCCGAACTGTTGGTTGGTTTCATGCAAATTAACTGTGATTCCTGTCGATCTCCCTTCTTCCCTTTTCGTACATCTGGATGCACGCTAATCCTTCATGCATGTCATATCCGAACTTGCCAAAGACCCCATAAACACCGACGATTCCAACAAATCCTCCTCATCTGATTGGACCTGTCTGCCATCTATTAAGGGTCAAAAATCTGGCCCTCATTCATATCGCCAGCCACGG